CACTCTACTGCGCACATCCTTGTTTGTGACGAGGTCAGTGTATGAGACGCCAAACTGTGTTATAGAATAAGCAGAATAGCAACAACCTATGACAGTTGTAGCATTTCTCTGTCCAAAAATTACAGTTATTTCAGCCCAGTACCCAGTTTTGATAAATTTGACGTTAAAAATTTGAGTTTCACAACATTATGTCAAGCTTTTTTCAAATGCAATTCTTTGAATATCTTGATAAACTGCACGGGATAATCTTTTGATCTTGGTAGAGTAGATAGAACATTTGGTTTCTGACTTCATGGCTTTAGTAACACAAAACGGCAAAAAATGTCAAATAGAACTTAATAATTCTGAGGTAGCGATTTGTCTTATAGCATTTCCCTTTTAAGTGAATTGATAGGTGTATCAATAGATGAATTCATAAATCAGTCTATCAATCAAATAGTTTGTCTGTCTGTCTGATAAAAAAAACAGCAGCAACCAAGGACAGTATTTGCATTTGTCTTGTCGAATTTCCCTTGTAAGTAAATTGTTACGTGTATTCATAAATCAGTCTATCAACCAATTAGTTTGGTCTGTCTGTCTGTCTGTCTGTCTGTCTCTCTGTCTCTCTGTCTGTCTGTCTGTCTGCTTTCTGTCTGCCTGTCTGTCTCTCTGTCTCTTTGTCTGTCTGTTAAGTTTTTGTGTATGTACAAGTGAATGTGCATTGGTTTGTGGGTGTGAGGACGCGAGCGAGCACTCATACATGCATGTGTAAGGCCGGTCCCAGAGTGGCTCTGTAGGTCTGACCTGTCAGCACAGCCGCACTAGGCCAGAAGAGCACAGGCCTACGAATGTAAACAAAGAGTCGAAGCTAGGTCAACCTCTCGATTCTAAATTTTAATGTAGGATAAAGTGCATTTTTTGGGATTTTGTGGACACGTTTTGATGCTAGCCTCAATATCTAATAGTAAAGCACATAATATTAATACTTACTTCTTGCTGATTTTGATGATATGTGAAGAATCTCAATTGGAAATAAATACGAAGCGAGGCTGCGTGCGACACATGTCCGACGTGTTTTACAACACTGTTGAATAGCACGTCTGACGCGTCGCCCAGCTCAGCGGACAACAGACAGACGCTGCTCAGACACGCGATAATGTATACGTTCATTTGCACGGTGCGAGCTATGCGGGCTACAGGTCAGACCTACAGAGCCACTCTGGGACCGGCCTAAGGATACACTGATATGTGTCTGTACATATACAAGTGCATAATCTTCCTTATTTAATACAGCAGTATTAATATTTAATTACATATTATAGTAACCAGCGATCTATATAAAGGCGCATGTTTTAGACTTATGAATGTGAAAGAAAAATATTGTAACTTAGTAGACAATCTTTATCCATCGCGTAGGGAGAAATTTGTTTTGCTCGTGTACAATGAGAGTCGTATTACAAAGTCCACTTACGAATAAACAACCCCCCCCCTCAACCCCCCCCCCCCCAAAAAAAAAAACTATAAAAAAAACTAAAACAAATTTTAAAAACAAAACAATATTGATACATACTGGAACACCCCTTAACCATAAACTCTCTCTCTCTCTCCCTCTCTCTCTCTCTCTCTCTTTCTCTCTCTCTCTCTTTCTCTCTCTCTCTCTCTCTCTCTCTCTCTCCCACTCTATCTCTCTCTCTCTCTCCCACTCTATCTCTCTCCCTCTCTATCTATTTCATCATCATCATCATCATCATCATCATCATCATCATCATCATCATCATCATCATCATCCTCTACCGGCGTCTGTAGAGCAACTGTTAAGCGTTTCGCTGTTGTACGCAGGAGACTGGAATTCGATTTCGAAATAGATAACATTTTTATCGAGTACCTCGGTCATTTTGCTGGGGTGTTGTATCCCTCTTAGCCCGGGTTGGTCCAGACAGGCAGGGCCGGAAGCCCGTCCTCTAAATAGTCTAAAATGCGTTGGTGGAGGCGTAAATACACATTAACAAAAATGAAAGAATTTAGAAAATAATGGAATGAAGAATGAAATAAAAAGGTAGAATAATAATAATAATAATAATAATAATAATAATAATAATAATAATAATAATAATAATAATAATAGTAAAGTTGTTCCCGCATCCGATCCGGACTTTAGGGATTGCCTTGTTAGTGAGACATCTTCCTGGGCCTTCGGCATATTGTGGTTGGGTGCCCAGTTCCTTTCCACTACGCCTTTACTTCAACAATTTGAAGTCAGGTACCCATTACTCCTGGGTGGGCAGGAGGGGGCGAAAAAAATCCGTGTCCAAACCGAGGCTCGAACCGGGACTTTCCGCTTCGGAGACGAGCGCACTGACCCCTCCTCCACCGCAGCCTCAATAATAATAATAACAATAATAATAATAATAATTATTATTATTATAATAGTCATAATAACCCAAAAAATAATAATTACAATAATAATAATAACAACGATAATAATAACAGTAACAATAACAATGGCATTAAAACAATAATAATAACAATAAAAACCAATAATAGTCATCATCATTCAGTGCCAAATCTGCGACAGACATCGACGATCATGGTTCTCCATTCATTCTTTTGCTCAGATGCTCTCAAAAAAGCTACGTTCCCCTGATCTTTCCCTGTTACTCTTTAGTTTAGGTTCCCCGAGTAGGTTGTTCTGGGCCTACCCCTGCCTCGTTTGCCTTCAATTTTGCCAGTGAGAGCTAGATGTTCAAGACCCTTATGTCTATTCAGGTGTCCTAAAAACTGCATAAATTTGTCGTTTCCTGATTGTTCTCAACATTGAGCGTCCCACGTGGGCTTCATCAAACACTACCTCATATGATTTCTTTTCATTCCACGATACTCTTAGCAGTCTCCAAAGAAACCACATTTCTGCTGCTTTTATTTTATATTCACTGTCTTTATTGATTGCCCAGCATTCACAGCCATATAGAATGGTTGACTATACATAGCATTTCAGAACTTTCATTTTGGTCATCATTGAGATGTTTCTATTTTTCAGGATTGGGCTCATTTTATTGAAACTTGCCTTAGCTATTGTAATTCTGTTTTATTTCTGTGGAAGATGTTATCATTTTTCCTAGATATTTAAACTGTTAGACTTGTTTGATCTTTTCACTTTTGCTAATGAGATTACAACTAGGATTTGCTGCTTTTTTGGATATTACCATGCATTCTGTTTTCTTTACATTCAACAATAATCCTTTACGTTCACTTTCTGTTACAACAGTATTTAGAAGCAATTGAAGGTCCTTTTCTGAGCCTGCTATTAAAACTACGTCATCTGCACACCTGATGTTATTAATATTTTCTCCATTCACTTTGAGACCTGGACATTCTTATAGGTTCTAAGGATTGTTAAATATGTTATAGAGGTCTGGTGACATAACACATCCTTGCCTCACGCCTCTTCTATTCTGCTTATATTCACTGTATTCCCCGTTAATTTGTACAGCAGCGTTTTGGTCCCAGTACAAATTCCTGATAATTCTTAGATCTTGCTCATCTATGTCTAGCTTTTCCAGTATTTTAGATAGATCACCGTGTTTGACAATGCGCTATAATAAAAATAATAGTAACGATAATAATAACCCAATAACAGAAGAAAAGAAAAATCTCACCACACCCACCACACCCACCACACCCCCCACACCCCCAACTACACCCACAGGTGACCTGATGGGAGACATCATCTCCCACGCCGTTGTTCAGTCCAAGAGCTTGATGGACCAGCCAGTTCTGGACGCCGAGGAGGTTCTGGGCGACCTGGGCCCGACCGTCCACGCCCTGCGCTACGCCAACATGACCGGCCTCATGGATGAGAAGCTCAACAAACGAGGACAGCGCTTTGTCAAACATGGTGAGCCTACTATACATGGCTGGTTTTATCATTTATACTCAGCGCGTTTACGTGTATGGTATATAACACTTTTTCGAACACGGTAGGCCAACTATATATACCTGGTTTTATCATTTATACTCAAAGAGTACATAATATGCGCTTTGTCAAACACGGTGGGCCTACTATAGCCTATATACCTGGTCTTATCCTCAATACGTAGAACTTATACATGTATGGGATACAGAACTTTGTCAAAGAAGGTAGACCTACTATATAAAGCTGGTTTTATCATTTATTCCTAGCATGCATACGTGTATGGGATATAGCGCTCTGGCAAACGCGCGACTTACTTACTACCCGTTACGCCATCTGGCGTTTAGGGCAGCAACAAAGGATCTCCAGCTCTGTCTGTTTTGGGCCATCTTGGTAAGGTCCATCACACACAGAAATATGGTTTCTCTTTGTTGCTGTTTCCGTAACATATGGGTCGTTAGCCCTGAGCTGAACCTCCGAAACCTGGAGGGCAGTTGTATCACGCTTCGTCTGACCTCTACCCGTCGACCTGTCTGGCATGGGTGGCCCTACCAGGAGCATTTAATTTGCTCCAGCCAGCGTAGCTCTTGATCAAACGCAGGAGGCCTACTATAACTAGTTTTGTACAAACGTGTATGGACTCATAATATAGCGCTTTGTCATACAGGGTAGGCCTACTATAATTATAAAACGGGTTTTATCATTTATTTCTAGAGTACCTAATTACGTGTGTGGGATAATGAAATTATTATAGCGCTTTGTCAAACGCGGTAGGTCTACTAGCTGGTTTTATCATTTATACTCAGATTGTTTACATGCATGGGCTATAGCGCTTCATAATAAATGCAATATATTGTATGATGATGATAATGATGATTACGATGATAATGATGATAATGATGATGATGATGACGATAATGATGATGATGATGATGATGATGATGATGATGATGATGATGATGATGATGATGATGATGATGATGATCATTTTGTATTATTATCATTTTGTATTATTATCATCGTGGTTATTATTAGTATTATTATTATTGTAATTATAATTGGCAGAATTATAAGTAGTAGTAGTAGTAGTACTAGTATTATTATTGTTATT